TGTTGTTCTTGTTCTTGTTGTTCTTGTTCTTGTTGTTGTTGTTATTGTTATGTTATACGTACGTACGTATTATGTATATACATATATGTATGCATATATATACGTATATATCTTCATTGATATAGACAATTTTCTAATGAAAAATCATTTGGAGGTCTTCCTCATTTGTGACACATGTGATACATTTTACAAGAAGGACATTTACAAGATAAATAATTTTACATCATTCACATAGTCTCTTTATCTCTCTTTCTCTCTTTTTTACTTTCTCTCCCTTCCACTCCCTCTTTCTCTCTCTCTCTCTCTCTCTCTCTCTCTCTCTCTCTCTCTCTCTCTCTCTCTCTCTCCCCTCTCTCTTTTCGTCTCTCTATCTTTTTCTCCCTCTCTTCTCGAACGATCGTTTCGTTTAGAGTCTCGATTAGATAATCCATTTAAAACTGCCAAAAAAGTAGACAAGATTTCACTCTTTATCCACTTTTGATTTGTAAAATAATAGTAAAGGAAAGTTTTATTATTAATAACTTTTTATATACTTTTGTATTCGACCAAATTCTATAAGAAATTTACAGGGAAAATTTCTATGGGAGTTTTTCTTCTTCCTCTCCTTGTCCCTCTTCTCTCTCTCTCATCCTCTTCTTCCCCATCCCATTATTAAATAATTGAAAAATCCAATTCACGAATACAATAAAGTTATTCATAGTTCCTTCTTTATTTTTCTATTTTATTACCTGCAACCATCTTATTTGTTTTTGTTGCTGTTATTGTTATTGTTGTTTATTAGCAGCATATTTTAGGCTATCTCTTTAGGAATATTAAAAACTCTTCTTTTATAAATCATCAATCATTCATTGATCGATCTTCAGAGACAAATGATTATTATTATTATTACTATTATTATTATTATTATTATTATTATTATTATTATTATTATTATTATTATTTTCTTCCTTCTTGATAGACACACTATCTTTTCATTTTCAAAACTATGTCGAATTATTATTATTTTGATCAGTGCCTTTACACACACATATATATACATATATATACATATAATATATTTATATATGTATGTATCGGTATCTTGTCTCTTTATCTTTTATCAATAATGATGCATCCCTTTTGATGCTTCTAAAATGATCAGATCTTATTCTGATCGTGTTCTAAGATCTTCAAAGTAAACTTTGAGATCTAAATACAGTCTTTCATGTCAATTGAGTTACTTTCGAAACTCTACTCTTTAGTTATTATTTAACTCTTCGAATAGACATTTGTCTTTTGTGCTTTTTTCTTTCTTGCTGCTAGCATATCATAAAATGGATTATGTGATATACTTTGCCTAAAATAAAAAAACAAATGTATTATTAAGATAATGTTGTTTACCCTTTTTTCTTTTTTCTTCTTTTTAATAGAATATCAAAAATAAAAGATCAATATACTCGTGTATATATTCTACTAACCGAACGCATTTGATCCATTCATCTTTCTCCTCGTCTGTTGCCGCAGACATTCTGTACACTGTATGCTTTCCTGTTAACAAACAACAACAATAACAAATTGTACAAATTGAATATATAGAGATTAATTTAGATAATTGTACCTTTGTTACATAGAATTGAATAATAAATATCCTTAGAATATATAAAATGATGCCATTTATAATAAAATAATTTTTAAATACTTGCTTCATGGGAGCTTAAAGATATTTTCCATCTAATTTATGTTTGCCTCGTCGAATATCATAAATTCATCATAAAAAAAAAAAAAGAAAAAAAAAAGAAAAAGAGAAAGAAAAAATACCTCAATTTCAGATCAAAACAAATTGCAAAAGTTTTGATATAGGAATGTTATCTAATTAAATAAAAACTATTTCAAATATTTATTATCTGTGTACCTTCAACGACCTTTCCTTCGCTATCAGTTTTACATGCTTTGATAAATTCTGATCCAGCTGCATAAAGTTCAAAGCAATGCGGCTTGTGTCGATCTTGTACTTCTCTAACTTGTATGTTTTCTAACGGAATGATACCACGCGGTTCCTTGTCCGTCGTATATTCAAAATAATATAGGCAATTGTCATTTAGAATGAACCACCGTCTTTTCCAGCTTTTGTAACGTCCACCTGAAACAATCATTGGATACATTTAAAGTTATAAGAATCAATGATATCAATCGAATGCATTATTTACCTGCTGTCTCCGTCAGGGCAGCAGAGGGACAAAGCGATAATAATATAAGAACAGGCCTCTTTTTTCAAGCATTAAAAAGCGCTTCAATTGGGGTAGGGTGATGTGATCAACTTAAACCACTATATACACGTAACATTCCTTATTCACACGTCTTTTCTCTTCTTTTCTTTGTCATACAATTATCACGGTAAAAAAAAAAAAAAAAAATAGAAAAAATTTATCAACAAAAAAAAAAATCATATGACTCTTATATTAACTCAACAAGCGGCACACACACACACACACACATATAATTGGAACCGATGATTATAAAAGTTTGATCTAAAGTAATATATTTTTTATTCGGAGATATTTTGAAATTTGATTTTGAATTGTGTATTTTTTTCTTCCCCCCTTTTCATAATTAGAAACAAAAAGGAAAGTATATTTATTCTCGGGGAAAAAAAAAAAAAAGAAAAAGAAAAACAAAAATTTTGCGTAATTTAGAGAATTTCAAAAATTAAAAAATTTCATCGATTCACGCGACCATAAATATTTACAAGATACAAATTTGAACGCTTGAGAAATCATATTTGATATATCCAATGGCAGAAAAGCCATAAAAAAAAAAAAAAAAAAAAAAAAAAAAACCGCAAATCTCATACGCGATCATTAATATTCGTTGGAATTTTTTTTTTCTTTTTTTATACATATAATGTAAAAAAAAAAAAAAATAAAAAAAAAAAAAAAGGAAAAAGGAAAAATTGAAGTTGGAAACGTTATGTAGAAAAAAAAAAGAAGAACGAAGAACGAAAAAAAAATTTTATTGCTTCGCAAATATCAGATACTTGTTATAAAATCTTTAATTTTTCCTTTTTCCCTTTCGCATGAGATTAATAGTTTTTTTTCTCGGTATAACTTTTCCTTTTATGTAGATGAAGAAAAAGATGCATTTCAAAGAAGAGATCGGACGTGATTATTAGAAGTGACGCTAAGTCGAAAAGGATGAAAAAGTGTTGTTGACAGGATAGACAGACTACTAGAAGGAGAAAGAAAGAGAGAGAGAGAGAAAGAGAGAGAGAGAGAGAGAGAGAGAGAAAGAGAGAGAGAGAGAGAGAGATAGGTTTGCTGGATTGACGAGGCACGTCGACAGGAAATTACCTTGCTTCCAAAGCCAGCCTTCCTTATCGGGGTTAAAGAAGGTGTGCATCAAATCGTTGCCATCGTCTTCCGGGATCTTGAATGGTTCCGTTTTTATACTTTCGTAAAGACTCTGAGAAGCAAACGAATTCATTCATTACATACACACATATACATACACACATATATATATATATATTTATATCACGCGTTCGCGATCAAAATTTTTTTTATTTTAAATAAATAAAAAAATTAATTAATTAATCGATCGATCGATCGAGTTCTTTATGTGGAATCAACGCATAAAAAAAAAAAAAAGAAAAGAAAAAAAAAATTAAGAAAAGTAAATTTTACAACGAGATTCACCCCCTCCCCCGTCCCTCTGACCCTTCCTCCTTCCTTCCTTCCTTATCCCAAGGATTGGTTTTAATAAAGAATATTTCGTGTAAATTGATCGACAATGTTTTAAGTGAGGGGAAAAGAAAAGGAAAAAGAAAAAGAAGAGGAAAAGAAAAAAAGAGAAAAGAAACGAAAGGATTGTAATCAAAATAAATAGAATAGAAGGTTCAATTTCATCAATGGCGCCTGGAGAATTCGCTAAAGTTACATGTATAATAACGATCATAATAACTTCGTCGTTTAAATGGCGATCAAAACGATTCTTGGGTTATAACAACGTGGCTCTCTCTCTCTCTCTCTCTCTCTCTCTCTCTCTCTCTCTCTCTCTCTCTCTCTTGGTATACTATTACTATACTCATAAATCTGTCATTAAAGAATCATTCCAACGGAATAGCGAGATTTCTCCTGACCCCTTATACCCCTTTAGCTATCATGGCGTTTAACCACCACCACCATCAACCAACCAACACCATCAAAGTCTAGTAATATTATATGAACGAACGACGGACGTTCGTTCATTCTATCGAGGAGACACTTGCATAAGCTTGCCAATTGCTTTATATATCCCGTTGCAAAAGCCAATAGACCGTGTGCATTTGATATATTATAAAAGAAATGTCTCGCGAGAGATTCACGAATAAAAAATATCTTAATATTTTATTGACCGAATTTTATAGAATGCAGATTACATATATTTGATGATCTTTTTCGTTTGTTTGTAATCCATTCTTTCTTTCTTTCTTTCTCTTTTTTTTTTCTAATTTTCTTTTTCTTTTTTTTTTTTCAATCTTCCTTTTACTTTTTTTTCATTTTATTTGTTTGTTTTTAATTTTCTTCCTCTTTTTTTTTTCTTTTTTTCATAAGTTTTTTCATAAGTTTTACAAAGTGAAATTATTTCATATTCGTCGATAACGAGAGAAAAAAATAATCCATCGTATTTAAGTTTCATTGAAATAATACGAATAGAAAAATAAAAAAAAAAAAAAAAATAAAAAAAAATGTATGATTGATTCGGTAAGTAAAATATTATTGGGTTTCTTCTCTTTTTTTTTTTTTTTTTGAGATTTATTTATTTATTTATTACCGAACGAGTATTCATTTTTTGTTTTGATACTAAAAATATTTCGCGTTCAAGAGTCCAGAAATTTCGGTGGCTTTGAGATAAAAGATAACCACAGTACAATACTGCCTCTGCTACTACTACTACTACTACTACTACTACTACTACTACTACTACTACTACTACTACTGCTGCTGCTACTATTACTTGTTTACTTTGAGTAAAATCATACTTTTTATGACCGGAAGAGGTCGAGAGAGTTCTGTTTGCGAATGTTTCTCTTCTGATAATATATGAAAATTTACAATTTTCATTATTTCTTTCTTCTCTTTTTTTTTTTCCTTCTTTTTTTTTTTTTTTTTTTTTTAACGAAGCTCTTAGATATAAGTAATAAAAGTTTTAATACGATAAACAGCTTTCAAATGTTATTATTAGATTAGAACTTTGTGCGACGAGGGATACTTTTTCTATGGTATCTATCAAATTTCATTATAGGCTTGATGATATAGGGCTCAATCAGGGCTTCTTTGCAATGTTAAAAAAAAAAAAAAAAAAAAAAAAAAGAAAAAAAGAAAGAGAAAAAAAAGAAATCATTTTTAACGTCACTACTGAGTCCTAAAAGTGAGACGTTTTAAATTGGGACGAGAAGAGAAGAAGAGGTCAGGTTAATGAGATGATAGATGATATATATACACACACACACACACACACACACACACACATACAAATAAACACGTATACGATTGAGCCTCCGTTTCCAGGAAGATCGCTTCCCCTCCCCTTCAATCTCCCACGTCCCCTTTACCCTCTAACCAACTATCCAACCACCCACCCACCCAATACCCATCCACTTATATGACGACGAGTGGCCGTCACCAAAAGAAGCACAGCACATTGCATAATTCGCTCGATCCTTTCCCAAGGGTTTTTTTACCCTTTTGAAAGGAAGGAGATGGGTAGAATGGGGTAGGGTGAGGTGGGATGAAATAGGATAGGGGGGGGTAAGAAGAGGGAAGTCAAGTGTACCGAGAAAACTCTCTGCCATGTGCAAGTAAAATAAAAAAGAAAAAAAATATATATATATATATATATCTTATCTCTCGACGTAAATAAATTATCTCAATGGCTTTAGCACGTTGAAATGTCACTGTTACTCCTTCTCTTCCTCCTCTTCCTGCTATCATCTTCTGCCGATCTATGGATCTTTTCGTTACGCAAATGAGTAATTATACGAACGACTGATATATATATTCCGGAAAAAAATTAGATGTTTAATTTTTTTTTTTTTTTTTTTTTTTTTTTTTTTTTTTTTTTTTTTTTTTTTTTTTTTTTTTTTTTTTTGCAAAAATCATCTCGTGTTTACTCGCTAAAATCTATTCGAATTATCTCAACAACAACGACAACAACAAAAATCTATTAATTTATTCTAAAAGTTGAATGAAAAGAATGCTTAAAGAGGAAGTTTCGACCTAGAATTTTTTTTTTTTTTTTTTTTTTTTAGGAAATAAAATTGTACAAAAATCAATAAAAAGAAGAAAAAAGATATTAACTTTTCAACTTTGTCAAGTTCAATCGTCAAAAGTGTTCGAATTTTTTTCTTTTTTCTTTTATAGATTCACTTTCGCAAAATTTCGTACGATTTAAAAATACGTTCGTTCTTCCATTTTTTTTTTCTCTCTCTCTCTCTCTCTCTCTCTCTCTTACAGAAAAGAAAAGAAAGAAAAAAAATACAACTTTTTATAAGTCATATGTCATTTAATATATTTCGTTAAAGGAAAAATTCTAAGGAATAATTTTTCTTTTTCCCATAATCCTAAAATTCCGAAATCTTTCCTCACTCCTTTACTTTAAAGTAAGATCTTTTTCATTTAAAAGTAATCCAAAATAATATCCGTTCAGAATATATATATATATATATATATATATATATATATATATATATACAAATAAAAATAAAATGATATAAATAAGAATTCGATCGCGTTGCAATTGTATTCTAAGATCTAATAAAACAGTAAATAATAAAGGGAAGAAAAAACAAGGAAGAAAGAAAGAAAGAAAGAAAGAAAGAAAGAAAGAAAGAAAGAAAGAAAGAAAGGAAGAAAGAAAGAAAAAGAAAAAAAAACTTACCACGAGTAATTCTCGTGGAAGGTCGCCGCCATTGTTGATACCACGATTCATAGATATAAACTGTTCTACGCTGGGCTTGTCCTTGACGCTTGGATTATGTAGGGACGTGTTAAGCATTATAATGGCGAAACTGAGAACATAACAGGTGTCGGTGTTGGTGAATATATTTGGATTTAGCTGACAGTATCTCTGTGCGAAACACTCCATCATCCGATCTATTTTCTGTGCCTCACCGGGCAAACGAAAGGACCATAAGAATTGTCTCAATGCCTGTACCAATATAAGATCGGTAAAATCATGGAGCTCGACGAAGGCACGTAATACGCGCTCGTTAAAATCGTGACGTTCCCCAAGATAATCGCCAATCGCTGTCTTGTTAAGGCCCTCCCCCTTGTAAAGGAACTGTGCAACATCCTCTGGCGTTGGTGCCAACAGGTTGTGCTCGATCAGGTACTCAATGCCCTTTTTCGGGTCCATGTTGAATTTCTTCCGTCCGATCGACGTCTGCTTTGCCTTGTTCGTCGGTTTCGTCTCGTTCGCGACGAGGCCTCCGCCCTCCATCGCCTCCATCTCTGCCACGACCTCACCAAGTTCATCTTTCAATTGCTGGAAAATAGAAATTCGTACGATTAGATGATAATTATCCAAGAATAAAAGATCATTCTCATTTTTTTTTCATGTTTTCTTTTCTTTTTTTTTTCTTTTTTTTTTTTTTTTTTTTTTTTTTGATAGTTCGACAGCACATTATTTATTCGAACGAATTCAACGACTCTTGCCATATGAGATTATTTATTATTATAAAATGTTATAAATTGAATTATGAATTTTATTAGTTCCTTTGAAGTATAAAAAATATAAAACTGGTTATCGGCTATCAGGCTGACATTTTATGGAGGAAGCCCGAACTTAATTTCGTTTAAGTTGGTAATTTAAAAACCATAAAAAGAGATAAGAAATTTGTGTGTGTGTGTGTCTGTGCGTATGCGTGTTATCACATAAGTAATGCGATTCTTTCTTACTGGTCAAAATAAATGATAAAATAATTTTACAGTTTCGCCTAAACTCTTTTATTATAATTATTGACATATATATATATATATATATGTAAATTATATACATTAAAAACGATGTATATATCGTAATAAACGATGTAAATTATCGATACAATACGTTTAATTTATAATTATCGAAATGTTTTAAGTAATCACACGTGCATGTCGCTTCTCTCGCGTGAATTTAAGAATGAGAGAAAAGAAAAAAGAAAAGAAAAAAAATAAAAAATAAAAAAGAAAAAAAGAAAGAAAAACATTATCGCGAAAGCGTCGAACGATTAAAGTATCTCAATTATACTTTCCTTCGAGATTAATTTTATATTCAGTATTAATAAAAATAAATGCATCATATATACCTTATTTTTTTTATATAAATATATAATTAAAAAAATACAAAAAAAAAAAAACAAAAAGAATAAATAAATAAAAAGAATTTTCAAATATTATTACGAAAATTCATTAGAAATGTAATACGTTTTGAAATGCAATTTATTAACGTGTAATTATTCCTTTTAATCACGAATAGAAGTGTAAATAGAGGGAGAGAGAGAGAGAGAGAGAGAGAGAGAGAGAGAGAGAGAGAGAGAGACAATTCATTTAGAAATAGGAATACGTCTCGAAAATTATTATCTATTACCGTAGTACGTTGTTCATATGTATTTAGCGATATGATAGGCTATTTAATTTGTGTAGATTAATTAATAGATATGGCGAAATACCGTTCGAATCTTGGAAATTACCCAAAACTAGATTTCTGGTTTTGTCGGAAATAAAAACGAAAGATAATATTGTTCCTCCTGTCCGTCAGTTCATTTCCCTCTCTCTTTCTCTCTCTCTCTCTCTCTCTTTCAATAAACGAGTTAAATAACTATTCGAATATAACCTAGGTCCGAGTTAGAATATAACCATCATCATTATTACACCACCATCATTCCCAGCCCACACAATCGTCCTTCCTTTCTTAGCATCACAATGCATTGCTGACAAGGACGATGATATATATATATATATATATATATATATATATATATATATACGCGCACACACATATACACATATATACATATATAAGTAAAAGACAAACGCGTTATCCTATATAGAGATAAAATAAAATTCCTTTTTAACTATATTGCAATCTTTCACAACGATTACATTTACATTATATTACGTTACATTACATTACTATTGCTCTCATCCGTAACGCCAACATGGTTCTCACAATTTTCTCAAACAATAATAATATTTCTCGCATCGAGTAAGGCTGACGCGAACGGAAATACCATGAATTCTATATCACAATCGTTCTCTGTGTATCTCTGTTTATGCGTATATGTGTGTGTGTGTGTGTGTGAGCGCGCGCGTGTGTGTGTGTTTGTATGTCTTTCTCTCTCTCTCTCTCTCTCTTTCTCTCATTTCTACGAGGATTTCGAAATAACATTGGACCGATGCGTGTCCTTTTATCGTTACGATAAAACAGTTGAATTTCTACGAAGATTCATTTTCTTCTCCTTTTAGCCCCTCCACCCTGGCCAATTTAATTTAACGTTCGTCGTTATATTCAGAATTAATTCTCTATAACATAGTTTAATTACTTACTTACATATATATATATATATATATATATATATATAAATATATTATATACGTAATAAAAATATATTTATTATGTATTTAATATATATATAAATATATATTGTACTCAAGTGTATTGTATTGTATAATATAACTTTGTCTGAAATATTTCTTCGTCGATTCCGAAAAAAGTCGTTTTATAGAGGGTTAAAAAAAAAAAAAAAAGAAAAAGGAAAAAAAAAAAGAAAAAGAATGCATAAAAAAAATTCAGTCGATAAGAAGAAAGACCTTACATACCGACAGGTAATCATACCTTATCACATTTGATTATCTTCTTTTTATGATTCTGATTCAGATAATGTTTTATTTATTATTTCCAAGAAACATGTTCTCGCGCATGCATGCACGCGTGCGTGCGTGCATGTGTGTATATGTGTGTGTGGGTGTGTGTGTGTGTTTTCTGTATTAGAAAATTTAATTTAATCAGATTTTCTTTTAGTTCCTCGAAAAATGACTATGTACGAGAAAAAAATGCATATGAGAAAGAAAAAGAGAGAGAGAGAAAGAGAGAAAGAGAAAGAGAAAAAAGAGAGAAAATTCCTAATTAATCTTTAAACAAAGGATATCCGGTATAATTAACGTTACCACTGGAGACTTTCTTTCCCACCCCACTTGACTCGGTGAACGGCGGAAATTCTTTACGGCCAACTCTATGCTTACATGTAGAAAAAATTTACCGATTCACACGATATATCGTTGATTCCAACCTTCTTTTTCTCATTTAAGGAATATATTACAAAAAAAAAAAAAAAAAAAAAAAAAATTGAATATAATTGTTAATAATATATCACTGCTATAATATAAATCAAGAATTGTTTATTTCAGGGGGAAAAAAAAACTCAAAAAAATTATATACATAACGTAATAATAATATTATAGATTAAAAAATAATCCCATAGTGTACAAAAAATCCCTAGATACGATAATAGTGCCTCCACTATTAAAAGTCCCTAAATCCACGAAATTGGTTAAATTCACAAAAAAAGAATTACCTTGGAAAGTTGCTAGTAGCAAAAAACATTTCTCTTTAAAGTACCCTTCCCCATCCCTCTCACCCTCCTCTCTCTCTTCACTTTTTCGTCCTATGTTTTTACATCGAAGTCTTCAGATCCGTAGAAAATCCCTATAGGCAAAAAAAGTCCTTGGGACTGGATTAGATCGGATAATTCCTAGATCAAATGTCCCTAGGCGTGGTCAAAAACCATTTTAGGTGATTTTAAAACTCAATTAACTTCATTTTTCGAGGATTCTTTTTTTTTTTCTTTTAGATTCATAGTTAGGCTTACAATTTTGTGAACTTGGTTTATGACTTTATAACCTCAAAAAAAAAAAAAAAAAAAAAAAAAAAAGGAAAGGAGAAAAGAAAATAGCAACTTAAAAAAAAAAATTTAGAAAAAGAGTAATTGATATTTAAAATTCATCTAGGAAAATTTGGAGCCCACTTAGAAGGAGGAGAGTCCTTTGGCCGAGCTCGTATATACCATAAGATATAATTTTAATCAGTATGACGAAAAAAATTATAAAGAAATAATATGAAAATTTTATGGAGCAAAAAAAGAAACAAAGAAAAAAGAAAATAAAACGGATATAACTGTTCGATAGTTTGAAAATAACGCGAATGACTAAACAGGAAAATTACAGTTCCTTGAAAAAACGATAAAGTACATCAGAGGAGCGTGCAATTTACGGTCTCCCATTGATCCGTTTCACTAGTGGTGTTGCTTTGACAACGGTGACCTTGAACAGACTTCTTTCCGCGAATGGGACAAAGCTAACTTCATTCTTTGTATAGTCCTAAAAGTATTTGCTTAGCTATCGTGCTTTTCTGCTGCTATGTGTATGTGTGTGTGTGTGTATATACAGTTTGTAGTATTATATATACATATATAATATAGTATATATATAATCCATATATAATACACATTATACATACTATACAATATATAATATATATACATATATATATATATATATATATATATATATAATTAATGTATAATACACACACATGGCGCCGCGCTCGCCATATGCACGCATACATATGAAACACAAGGTTTATTTTACTCAGAGGATATGTCGGAAACGTGATCCACAACCGATTAAGTACGACAAACGGTGACAAATGTTCATGCCGGAACATGAATTCATAGAAACGTGAGAGAAATCTTAAGGCCATATAGTATAGTAAGCATGTGTATGTATGTGTATTGTGTGTGTAAAATACATTGACGAAGGAATTTGATTTCTTTTCATTAATTATTAATTAATTTGTTGTTCGTGTATTATCAATGATATATTAATATAAAATAATTTATATATAATGCGTATAAAATACATTACATATGTACATATGTATATATAATATATAATACACAATATATATTTCATATTTTTAATATTATATTATTTATGTAATATATTATTATATAATGTATTATTGTATACTATATTAAAGTAGTATTTGATAGAATGATTATGATATACTCTTGATATAGTATAACAGTATAATACCATAATATTTAGTATACATTATATAAATATATATACATAACACGTTATGTACACTATATAAATTATTATTATAATTATAATTTTTGTAGTATAATATGTAATACATTAATATAAACAATGAATAACATATAACACCTACGACGATAATACATATATATAATACATAATGTATGCGATTAGAGACAAATAATTTAATTCCATGTTCATACATATATATATATACATATATATATATATATATATAATTGGATATCGGAATACGAAATTTTCTCAGAATTAAAAGGGTTCATCGATTGGAAGAGAGAGAGAGAGAGAGGAGGGTATATCCCAATGAAATTTTATGGTATTATGCAAAACACAGTCTAGGAAAGGTCCAGCCACTGTCACGTGCAAATGAGTACTCTTATTATA